ACAAAGTACTTTAGTACAATGTAGAAATAATCAAAATCAACACAATAATCGTGTATCACAAATATTACAGTGTAAAAATGTGTACTTTATTGGTTGTAGTTTTTGGTCTAATGGAGATAATTGGCATCAGTTCACTCCAATATCTGAGTCATGTGATATTAACCTTATTCAACATCTTCTGGATGGTGAATCAATTGATTGATCATTAATTGAAGATCAATGTTGTACCATCTTACCTAATACAACACAAAAAAAAATTTGCTATAAGTATATTAGTATATTTAAATAAAAAAAATTTTTTTAATATATAATTATTTTAATATAATAAATTTAAATTTATACAAGCATTTCCTCATCTTGATGACAATAACTGACTATTTGAAGCTCAATTAGAAAACATGCCATGTGAAGTTAAATTTTATCAATTTACGCCTCTTAATTTGTTAGAATGTCCTTTTGTGGTATTAGTTTGTATAGGAGAACATACTCATTCACCACCTCTACCATATCATGTGCCGGAAGCTATTCAAGCTCATCTTAAAACTTTAATCAAAGAATCTTCAAATAATTTAGAACATGTTACACCATGAAGATTAATATCAGGTATTATTTTAATTGAAGATTGTAAATCATTACACAAAAATATATAATTTTAGGCTATGCAAAATTAATTAATTGATTTTCATAAACTGGTCAAGTCAAATTTAGAAAACTTTTAAAAAATCTTTTATAGTTTTAATAACCAGATGAGTTTTTTTAAAAAAAATTTTACTCACTATTAATATTAAAAAAAAAAACAATTTTACTAACATTTTAAAAATAAATAAAGCTGGCTGTATCAAGTTTTATGAAATCAATATACAGTCTTCCTTCTCTATAATCACACAGTTTGTATCAAGAAAATTAGTGATTATAAAAGAGTGTGATTATATAGAAGTCTTTTTTAATAAGTTTTTTAATAAATTGTCTCAAAAATTAATGTGATTATATGGGAGTTGTGATTATATAGGAGGTGATTATAGA